GGAAGGTCAGATCCTGAAACGGAGGCTCCAATACTTTGCCCACCTCATGAGAAGAGAAGACTCCCTGGAAAAGACCCTGATGTTGGGAAAGTGTGAAGGCAAGAGGAGAGAAGGAGATGGCAGAGGATGATGAGGTGGTTGGATAGGGTCATCGAAGTGACGAATATGAATTTGACCCAACTCTGGGAGGCAGTGGAAGACAGGAGGGCCTGGCATGCTCTGGTCCATGGGGTCATGGAGAGTTGGACACGACTTAACGACTGAACAATAATATTAAATTGCATAACTCGCCATGGTGAATTGCCGCTTGCTAACGGTCTCCAGCTGTATCGCGAGGTGCGATGCTACGTGTGCAGGCTTAGCAATGCGTAACCCGCCTCAGTGAGTTATGCCTTTCAACTTAACATATGCGTAAGACACCCACAGGATTCTGGCCGATGGACCCTCTCGGCAGTGGGTCTCCGAAGTCAAGACAGGCTTGTCAGAATCTGAACATCAAATATCAAAAACGAGGAGATGCTTCTACTTTCCTTGAAATGTAAGGAGGTAGACCTGAAACGCTGTGGGTAAACCTACCATTAAGCTCCTGATATAAGGCGCTATCTGACTAATCTTGAATAAATGCATCTTGCCTATGCTGAAAAGCTTATTAAAGTCACCATATGTTGTAAGTGTTTTTGGGGAAAAGAACAAATTCTTAACCTTGAGTACTCACCTGTCTCATGCCACCCCCTTTAGCTTCTTGCAGGTCTGTCCACAGATGCTGAAGGAATTTTTCATAGTCTGTCTGGAAGAAAGGACAGCTTTGCATCTCAGTTATGGATTCCTACCACCTACTGAGGGTCATACTTTGTTCACCCCACGCTTCAGCCTTGAAGTTATGGGTCGTGGAGATCAGAACTTCACGTCACCCGAATGTTGTTGTTTTTTTTTCTGGAGGAATTCAAGGTTGACCCATCTAGGCCATCGTCCTGCGGATTCCAGCGCAGGACGATGGTCAGTGAAATACACCTTGGAAGCCAGCATACAGGCTGTGGTTGCAACCATCTTCTGTGTCCATCATCTGGTAGCGCAAGAAAAGGTGGAGAACCTCTAGCCTTCCACATATCAGGGGACTTCAAGTACCATCATCCTGACCCATTAACTACACTAGCTGGGGCAGATGGGATTTGAGTCCAGCATCTGGAGGACCAAGCCTGCACACGGGATAACATCTTTGGAATGGGTCCCCCCCAGCCCCAACCCACACCTCCTAAATTATACAGAAAGGCATGGTCAAGATTGACATCATCTCCAGATGCACATTGAAAGCAACAACAGGGTCCACTCCACCCCACAAGCGTTTGGACCACGGATGGTCTCGTTATGTGAAGGCTTGTTTTTGGATGCTAACAAGCTGTAAATTAATTTAATTCTTTTCTTCCACTAATCTTACATTAGTCGCCATCCACCAAACAGGATCTGTCTATTATACACTGGCCCAAATCCTGTTGATTTGTGTAATAAATCGCACTAGCCTAGACCCATTGAATCAGTCGGGATTTTGTGAGTCAACTCTGCCGTAAATTCCGTTGATTCAAAGGGGCCTCCTCTAGTTGCAGATTACTACAGCATTTGACTCAATGGTCTGTATGGAGGAGATGACTCACAAAATCCCCATTGGTTCAATGGGCCTACTTTAGTGCAATTTACTACCCTAACCAGCAGGATTTTGGTCATTGCCTCCCATAATCTCGAAGTCACCATCCCAACTTTGCTCTCTTAATGCCCCGTCCTGGTTTCTCGGATAAAAGGAAGAGTTTTTGGCCAGCCATCATATTCTGGAATGGCTCCTGAATCTCTTAAAGTTAGTCATGCCGACGGGGAATGCCACCTTATTGAGCTACTTACCGTAAGTCAGGGTTAAAGCTTGGAACTTTTTCCTAAAAGAGATATTTTGCTTGTCCTGTTGAACTTTAATCATGAACTTTACTCATCTTTTCCAGCTCACCAGAGAAACAGGAATACTCTTTTGGCTCCCTCTAGTGACCCATTCTGTTATTGATCCTTGATCACGCTTATCATTGCTCCCCCCCACCCCAAAAAAATCGAATAAAACAATGCTTCCTTTGTCACTTATGGTAGATAAGGGAACGTGAGTTTAAAACATTGGTCTTTTCTGTCAAAATGCTGCTAATAATGGCTGACAATGCTTGTTAAACGGTTAGAAGTAACTAGAAAACTTTAATCATTACTCAAAAAATGTAACTACTTGTAAATGTAACCAGGTAGAGCCTTGTTGTTGCCTCAGATACCAGGGCTTAACTATATTACTTGTAACTATATTACTATATTACTTGTAACTAGTTACTTCAAAGCTCAGGCTTTGAAGTAACTAGTTACAAGTAATTAATTAAATTACACATCATCACTGATAAAACTGTGACCTATCTTGTGACCATCCCTTAACAACATCTCTTCCCCCCAGCCGACTCACCACTTACCTTTCTTCTCCTCAGGGTGTCTGTCCTGGCGGACAGATCTGCCAAACGGGCTTCTAGAACCGAAAAATCTCGCAAGAGCTGCCCGTTCCGGATCCGGGCTTGACGCTCACGCAAACATAGCTCGTTCCATAATCTGGACAGTGCAGCCCCTTGGGCCTTCGAGCTAGAGAAAGGAAAGATGATAGGCCTTTGTTTTCCTGGCAAATGCTTGAGGTGAAGGGATAACGAGGCTTTCAAAGTCCGGCCCCTGATCTTTTAGAGATTCGGGGAAATCATTCCAGCAGAGGAGGAAAAGCCTGGGTGCATCATCTCTCTCCCTTGGTAGGGCTCCTGCTTCACACTAGCAGTTTAAATAGTAACATTTCGAACAGAAATCGAACCATCTGCCTTTCATGTATTTATTTTTAATTTTCAATTCAGGCCTCTTCTATTATTAAAACTGCAGATCGCTGTCTGGCTCAACGCAAGCGGGGTGGGGAGTAAAGTGGAAATAACGTTGTAGGAAAGAATATAGATGCTGTTTGCAAAATGATTTGAAAAGAGAAAATTATTTCCCCTTTCCTTCCCATCTAAAAAGTTCCCAGAAGCTGGGGCAGTTTAACCCTTTCTCTGCCGACGACACGGGCAGGCTCTGAATTGAAAATCCAAAGTAAGGGAATATTCGCTGCCTAACAGGCTTTTCCCAATAAATCTCCAACCGCGTTCGCTTCTTCCTTAGGCAAATTAAGAGCTTTACCGCCCTTTGCACATTATGGAAAGCAATCCCGAAACAGCAGACAGCTGGCATGCAGTTCTGGGTGTTAAAATAAGCTTCGATTTGCATCTCGTAGCAGCAGCAGCAGCAAATTCTGCATTGTGCAAACGTGGCCAAGAAGCCAACTAATTAGGATCTGGAAGAAACAGGGCAGGAAAGGACTCTCCGTTGACCCAGACAGGTTATTTGAAAGGCGATGGGGGGGGGTCCTACCTGCGTCTCTCCTTCTTGCTCTGTAACGGAGGCTCCAGTCTGGGATTGCAAGACCACAAGCCTACCAAATTCTCATGCCCCACTTCCCAAGCTGGTGGGGAATCTCTTTTAAGCCAATAATGGTGCACCGCCAACGCCACCCCCTCCACACACCCCCGGGCTTCTATCTCACTCCCTGTCCAAGGTTTCTAACTGGGCCAATCTGTACAGAAGATTTCTGGAGGGGGGGATTAAGGAAATAAATCTCCTGGTCAAGACGGCAGCTGCCGCCTTCGCATCTAGCCCAGACACCACCGACACGTTCTTTCTGGGAAAGACGGGTGACCATTAGGGGCTGGGGGCGCAGAGTCACATATCCCCCCCTCCTTTCCACAAAGGCCTTGCCCACTACACAAGCCATGTTCCTGCTCCTTGGAAATCAAGCCCGCACAAAAATGCACACGCTGTTCCAGCATAGAAGGCTTTTATTGATTTTTTTCCATCCCTTGCTCAGGAAAACGGACACAGGAAGAAGGAAAAGCCCACCATGTAGTGTGCGATCATGTTTTTGTGCTTTTCTTGTGTGGGTCCCACTGTGCTTTGTCCGTATCAGTGTGCCTTTCCCCCGCCAAGAATCCCCGTTTGGGCACAGGGAACTCGGTGGGTTGGTTGGGTGCCTGGCTGCAGAGCTTCAGAGGTTCGATTCCCCACTTCGCCTCCTGGAAGAACAGCCAACCTGGGTAGCTTTGGGACAGCTGCACAGTCAGTTCCCGAGGGAAGCCCCGGAAGAAGAGAATGATCCACCCTATCTGGGTTCGCTTGCAAACCCTGGGTAGCTTTGGGCCAGCTGCACAGTCAGTTCCAGAGGGAAGCCCCGGAAGAAGAGAATGGTCCACCCTATCTGGGTTCGCTTGCAAAACAAACAAACAAACAACCCTGGAAGAGATTGCCATATGTCAGAAAGGGTTTGACAGCACATCATGATTATAATTAGCAACTTCTTGGCTTGCAACTCGGAATACAGGGGTGCCTCGCTAGACGATGATAATCCGTTCCACTGAAATTGCTGTTTAGCGAAATCATTGTCTAGCGAAAAGCATTTTCCCCATTGGAATGCATTGAAACCTGTTTAATGTGTTCCAATGGGGAAGAATTGTCATTGTCTAGCGAAGATCGGCCATAGGAAAGCCGCTTTGCGAACCGCCGATCAGCTGTTTAAATCGCTGTCTTGAGAAGCTTAGGTCCCGAAACACATCCATTTTGCGAGCGCGGAGGGAGCTGTCAAAATCGTCGTTTGGCGAAAATCGGTTTCCGAAGCAGGGACCAAACATTGTCCAGCGAAATTCCCCCATAGGAATCACTGTTTTGTGAATCGCTGTAGCGATCGCAAAAAGCCAATGTCTAGCTAAAAAACTGTCATGCGGCGTAACTGTCTAGCGAGGCACCACTGTACATTCATTTGTACCTTTTCAGAAGGACGCCATTTTTTAAAAAAGTTCACTTTTCCTCACCAATCTTTTACATAGCACAATAATACTAGATGGCTTTTTTAAAAACACACACACACACACACACACACACAATTTAAAGGTTTTTGTACGCCCTGCCATTGACAACATCACTAATATGGCAATGCATGGAAAAGGTTCCAACCCATCATCATCGCATATGAGCAGGCAGGAGGATAAAGGGAACAGAGTTATATATTATATCACATCTTTATTATTTATGTTTGCTTTATTTATATGCCGCCTTGCTCCTGATAAGGGGACCCATATTGCATTTTAACAGTATTTTGCACTATTACTATGAAAGTAATTTAAATATATATATGCATATAGAGCCAGGAAAGAGTTACAGGTTTGGTGGTGGTGACCTACAGCTCCCATAAGCCCAGGCCTGCGTAGCCAATTGTCAGGGATTATGGGAGTTGTAGTACGGGAGGGGGCAGAAACCACCACATTTTAGCAGACCACCGTTGCTCACTCCTATCTGGTTTATTTTAAAGGTGCGATAAAAGGAGTGTCCACCCCTAAGGCTACACCGCACATGCGTTGGGGAAAGCACAGGGTGGGGTGGGGGGGCGTAAGGTGGGCACGGATACTAGGTGAACCTTCTAGAAAGAGGGAGGAAGGCCTGGCGAGTCGGCCGGATGCAGCTCAGGATTTGTTCAGGCCCCCTCAGACGCCCACGCATGGAGGTAAACGTTCCCTCAAAAACCACAAGGGAAAAAAACGAGGCCAAATTAATTGGGGGCGGTTTTGCCGTGGGCTCCGTGGGTGTGCACTGCCTCTGTTCTGAGTTCGAAAGAGGGCAAACCAACGTCAAAGTACCCCAAGCCATAGGGACCGCTCTTCCCCTTCCTACCCCTGCGGTGCCCTGAAGATTTGCCCTCGAAACCCAAGACAAGACAAGCCAAACGGAGTACCGGAGAAGCCCGCAAGGTTTTCCCGTGGCCCCCAAGCCTTCTCCCAAAAAGGCAGGCTGCGGAGAGGCGGAAACACATCCCATCTCTTTCCAGGGTCCGTCGGATGCCCCGGGAACGTTCAGGCGACTTTGGGGGCCGGGCGCCTGGGGGTTCGCACGAGTCCCCGGGGCGGGAGAGACCGGTGAGGGGTCCCCCTCCGCCGGTTCCTCAGGCTCTGTTTCCGGAGCAGGTAGCGGGAATACTGCACCTCCGGCATGACCAGCTTGAGGCACTGTTCGTCCAAGGGGGGTCCGGAACCGGGGAGATCGTAGCCGACGATGTCCACCTTGGCGCTCGGCTGCCAAGGACGCAGGTCTTTGTTCTTGATCTGCATGGCGGGCCGCAGCTGGGGCTGGCCCCCGAAGCAGTGGCGGGCCAGCCGCTCGCACGCCCGGTGGAGAGCGTCCACCTCCTTCCGGACGCAGTCCTGGCCCACGTCGTCCAGCTTCCGCCAGAACGTGGCGTTGAAGTGGTCGTAAAGGCCGGCGTCGAGGGCGTTCCAGGCCCGGATCTGGTCCACCAAGCGGGTGGAGGTGATGTTGAGCTTCGACTCCGGGCTGCGCATGTTCAGCTTGACATAGACAATGTCCTCCAGGTCCCACGCCAGGAGGCGGCGGAGCAGGACCAGCGACTCGTCGAAGTACTCGGCCAGCATGACCAGCGAGAAGATCCTCTCGACGTGCCGGATGAATTCGGCCAAGTACGCGGGGTCCTCGGCACTGCGGTCGGGGTCGCCCCCCAAATCGTACACCATGGTGTTGTGAGCGTACATGGCGTACTTATCATGGGAGCGGTAGTACCGGTGAGGGTGGTCCAGGAAGACCTCCATGGAACCGTTGGGGACCCGCTTGAACGCCGGACAGTACTGGTTGTAGTAGCTGAAGAGCGACTCAAACATGGCCACCGGCTCGCGGAGGATGGTGATGTAGACGGTGTCGTTGGGCATGAGGCGGCGAAGCTCGTCGTGGTTGAAGCGCAGGTGGCTGGCGATGAGCCGGGGCGGGAGGGTGTACGGGTGCACGAAGCGAGCCGAGAAGTTGCGCGGGTAGCAGAACTGGTGGTCGCAGGCGTGGTGGGGCAAGGCCACGGTCAGGTTGTGCCTCTCGGCGAAGCGGAAGAGGAGGTTCTGCACCGTGGTGCTGGCGGTCTTGTGAGTCTTCAAGAAGGCCACGGCGGTGTGCTTCGGGCGGGAAGACGGCGGGGGCCCACAGTTGAAGGCAGGAGACTTCGGGAACCTACCGGTGGGAGAAACAACCCGTCAAGAGAGGCTGACAGAAAAAGCCACCCTGGGCGTATCTACATTTCACGATTCGAAGGGTTTGATCCTGATTTTCGCTGCCACGGTGCTCTTACGCTATGGAACCCTGGGCTTTGTCATTGCAAGGAGCTTGGGGTTTTCTCCTGCAACAGAGTGTGCAAAATCTCTCCCGCAAAGTCATTCACAGGATTCTCAACCCACCACAAAGCCCAGGATCTCCTAGAAAGGCGTCAGAGCGGTGAGCGCACATGTGCGGCACACCGAGGGGTACAAAACCCCTGTAAAGAGAGAGAGAGAGAAATACTGTATTTTTCTGTGTATAAGACTATACTTTTGTCTAAAATCTTTCGACTAAAAATAGAGGGTCGTCTTATACGCAGAAGCTGAGGAGAGAACAAAAACAAGCAGAGGGGGAAGCAGGGATCAAAGCGATCCTGCAGCGCTTTTGATCCCTTTCCCCCCGCACTTGCTAAGCCCCACTTAGAGTTCTTAATTTTGGATTAGAAAAGTGTGGGCGGTGCATCTTATACACGGAAAAATGCGGTAAGTAGACTGTCGTGCCACCCCAAAAGGAAGAGAGAGGCCATCGGCTTTTAAATAAAGGAAAGTTAAACAGGGCTAAAAGGTATTGCCATATCCTGGAGCTACGGCAGTGAAAGCAAAATCAGAACGCTGCAAATGTGGTGTGCAAATCTCTGTCACTTTAGGGCCACGGCCACTCCTTATTCACACCTCTTCACCTGAACCAACCCCCCTTTTTCCCCCTTCTGACCACCACCATGAGCTGTCCCTCTTCTGGCTCAATTTCATTCGCACCATCCTATCCGTCTCAGCCATGTTCCTGTCCATGGGCTCCTAAATCTTTTTTTAAAAAACTCTTCTCCAGCATGATTTGAACCCTAGCCCTTCTTGAGGGTCCCACCCTTTTTTCTACCGGCTCCCCTTCTTCCCTCTTCCCAAACCCGACCTCAGCCATCTCGTAAGGCCTCTCATTGTCTCTCCATCATCCATCCCCCTCCTTTTTTTTTCCTTTAAAGGTCCCCTTGTTAACCAGCTCCCAAGATGGCCATTTGGTGCATCTCTGCTGTCATTCCACAGAGCTGCTACCAACACCTCCTCCTCCGTTCTGGAGTAAGAGAAAGGGAGGAGGAATAATAAGGTGCCTTTCCCCCTGGGAAGAAACGCGGATTGGGCCCAGAGGAGGGGACCAGCTAGAGTCCCGCATCCAGTTCTAGACACCGCACTTTAAGAAGGATGCTGACAAACGGGAGCCAGTTCAGAGGAGGGCAACCAGGATAATCAGGGGACTGGAAACCAAGCCCTAGGAGGAAAGGCTGAAAGAATTGGGCATGTTTAGCCCTGAGAAAAAAAGAATGAGGGGAGATAAAAGGTAAAGGTAAAGGTTCCCCTTGACAATTTTTGTCCAGTCGTGTTCGACTCTAGGCACCTCCTCCTCCGTTCTGGAGTAAGAGAAAGGGAGGAGGAATAATAAGGTGCCTTTCCCCCTGGGAAGAAACGCGGATTGGGCCCAGAGGAGGGGACCAACTAGAGTCCCACATCCAGTTCTAGACACCGCACTTTAAGAAGGATGCTGACAAACAGGAGCCAGTTCAGAGGAGGGCAACCAGGATAATCAGGGGACTGGAAACCAAGCCCTCGGAGGAAAGGCTGAAAGAATTGGCCATGTTTAGCCTTGAGAAAAAAATTATGAGAGGAGACAGGACAGCCCTTTTCAAAGACCTGAAAGGCTGCCATAAAGAGGAGGGACAGGATCTCTCGTGGATCCTCCGAGGAGTGCAGGACACATCATCGTGGGCTCCGGAGGCCAGATTTGGGCAGAATATCTTTAACGGTTATGAGCCGTAAGTATAACACATTCGTAACAGTTCAAAAGTTTTTAGCCAGGACCACGGAAGGTGGAGGATCTCCAGCGCTGGAGGCATGGAAGGGAAAAATCAGGCAACCCTCTTGTCAGATCTGCCTAGATTTACGACTGCTTGGTCTTCTGACCCTGCAGCACAGGCTTCTGCGGTTTAGCCCGCAGCGCCACCACGTCCCATTGAGGGGAGATAGGATAGCCCTTTTCGAAGACTTGAAAGGCTGCCATAAAGAGGAGGGACAGGATCTCTCGTGGATCCTCCAAGGAGTGCAGGACACGTCATCGTGGGCTCCGGTTACAGGAGGCCAGATTTGGGCAGAATATCTTTAACGGTTATGAGCCGTAAGTATAACACATTCGTAACAGTTCAAAAGTTTTTAGCCAGGACCACGGAAGGTGGTGGATCTCCAACGCTGGAGGCGTGGAAGGGAAAAATCAGGCAACCCTCTGTCAGATCTGCCTGGATTTGGATTCCTGCTTCAAGCAGGGGGGTCTGGATTCGATGGCCTTAAAAGCGCTTTCCGATTCCACGATTCTATGATTTTAGAAGCCAATGGGAAGAGGCAAGCCTGGCAAGGCAGACGAGGATCTGAGTCCCCTTGGAAAAAAAAAGGTTTGCATCTTGAAACAGACCCTGTCCAAACCCGAATCAGCCCCTCTTTTTCCTTCTTCCCCCCCCTTTCTCTCCCTACCAGCCAAGATGCCCGGTACTTTGGCGCAGAAGCAACGTGATGGTGCTGAAGGCCAGGAGGGAGACCAGCAGGGCCTTCTTGCGAGACATGGTTTTGGGGCCATAGACCAATGCCGCCGGCAAAGCACAGGTCATGCTGAGGCCGTTGATCCAGGCACCACCGTGTAGGCGCACGTCCACCCCGGCATGGGGAATAAAGAGCTGCGGGAGGTTGGTGCCCACCGTCGGCGGCTTCCAGACTCAGCAGCAGCAGCAGCGGGAGGACCAACCCAGCACTGTAAGGGGCACCTGGGGAGAAGCACAGCACCTCGTATTAATTTCACACCGGTTCAGAGGTGGCAAAACATCAAGCACAAAAATAATGGGTCTCACACGCAGTAATACAACGGGAGCATTCAGAAACAGATCAGACTCAAACTACGTCTGAATGAGCGAAGCAGTCCTCGGAGAATGCCTGAATCAGGGGACAGTTGGGGGACCCCACTTAGGTCCCATGTGTGTGGGGCCCCCCACCCCCCCAGTGGTCCCGATTCTGCACACTCATGCCTTTCAACATTATTCGCTCCTGCCCTTCTTGTCCACGAACGCCCGTTGCGAGAACTTCCCTCTCAATCTATAAGAACATCTCTCATCCGTGTCATCCGGCTTTCACTCCGAGAGCCCCTTCCTTGTGCCTCCACCAGAAGTAGCTGAAGCGGGGTAAAGAGAAAACACTTTGTGTATGCTCAGAGGCATTCTCCACCATCCCTCGCAGGGCACCAAATGCCATGTTTAGCTTTCCGCCCCTTCCATCCTCCCTCTCCAATCCTCTAATAAACCTTCTCTGCTTGCACACTGGCTCACCTTTGTTTGTGTTTGCCCTCGCCCCTCAACCCTTCCTCAAAGTACCGTATTTTTCCATGTCTAAGACTATACTTTTGTCTAAAATCTTTAGACTAAAAACTGAGGGTCATCTTATACACGGAGGAGTCTTATACACGGAGGAGAGAACAAAAAACAAGTGGAGGGGAAAGCAGGGATCAAAGCGATCCTGCAGCGCTTTGATCCCTTTCCCCCTGCACTTGCTAAGCCTCACTTAGATTTCTTAATTTTGGATTAGAAAAGTGGGGGGCGTCTTATACATGGAAAAATACGGTGCCTCCCCGTTTCTTACACACTCGAACTTTCCCCATCCTGCCTTTACACAATAGGCCTTCCACACTCGCACGTTTGTACGCCGTACGGGGTTTAACACTCCCAGTCGCTCCCTTAGAGCGAAAGGAGCTGGGAGTTATTCCCAAGAAGTTCCACCGTCTAAATTCGCCCTCTAATTCCTGGTCTCCGTGATTCCCGTGTTCTCACCTGCACCGCCTGCAGATGATGGAAGAACTCTTTGCAAAGTTGGGCCAGGTGCGCCTCCTTCTCTCCGTCCTACCTGACCCAGAGGAAACCAGAAACTGTCATCAAGTCCCCTTTCTCCCAACAAGGAAGAGATTAAGTATCCCACGGCTGGGATGGTTTCTGTGACTTATTTCTGGATGGCTTCCAACCCTTGGCAAACCCAACAGGAAATGTGGCCACCAGTGCTTTTGAGGAGCCGACCCGGGGATCGCCAGACACCGCAAACAGAGGGGCAGCCGGTAAAGATTTTGGCAAAGCCAAGTAGATATGAGAGCCTGTCGCTTTGTCAGATAAATGTCAGAGAGGTGATAGATGGTCAATGACAGGTTCAAATATGCAATAGCGTTAGAATGTGTTATCAGATAGGACGGATCAGTTTAGCTATTAAATGAGTTCGTTGTTTGTTCAACGATGTCTGTCAACACAGCTATGCCAAGCACAAGTGATATATAAAGCACCAAAATGTAAAAGCACTGTGACTTTATTCTCTTCTGTATGTGTTTTATTTACCAGCTGATCATTTTATTTACTTTCAAATGCTTTCACACACACACACAAAGGGAGAATACCAATTTTTACAGTGTGTGTAATTTTATTTACTTTCAAATGCTTTCACACAGACATACAAAGGGAGAATACCAATTTTTATAGTGTGTTTGTGTGTTTATCATTACATTTTAAACTACTCTGTGCAAACTCTGTTATGTATTCTCAGAGGCTTTCACGGCCAGGATACGAAGGCGGTTGTAGGTTTTTCGGGCTGTTTGGCTTCCTAAGGAGGCTTTTCTTCCTAACGTTTCGCCCGTCTCTGTGGCCGGCATCTGTCGGTTCTATTTTCTTTTCCTTTTTTAAAAATCAAACCAGCAGGGAATGCATGTCTGTCCGTCAGCTAAACGGAACAGAGGTCTCAATATTGAACTTGTCCATGAACAAAACAGGGTTCCTTCCGGCAAGGATAATAAATCTGCCCCCCTCCCCATATCTAGGCTTTGGGGAAAGGCTCCCCTGGCAGATACCAACTCCCATCGTCCCCCACCTCCAGTCTCCTGTTGAAGAAGTCAATAATACCACAAGTTCAGAAAAAGGACGGAGCGGAAGCTTTCTACTTGGGACACCTCCCGAGACGATAAGGCTCTCTTGCGACTATTGTACCCGGACGCGTGGTGTCATGCAATTCGGGTTCCGGGGCCCATTCTCCACTTCTGACCTTGAAATCTCAAGGAACCAGAGGCTCTGACCCAGGCACTTCATATTCTAGCCCTCGTTCTCATGGCTCCAAGGATAAGCCATTTAGACATGCTCAGAAGCACTCTTATCTTTCTTTCTAGGGATTGTTCTCCGACATTCCCTCCTGCTACTCCTTCCGGAATTCAGCCGTCTTCCACCCTGGCTGACACAAATCGGGATTTATTTATTTATTTTTGCCATTATCGCTCAAGTAGACTTCCAGGTGAGATTGCCAAAATCTGCGTCCTCCCCCAGGACGCGGAAAGACGTCTTCCCAGTTGCAGGATCTTTGGGGGCCGAAAAAGACAAGGAAGAACCAGCGATGTCGGTCACACACGGCCAGCTGAAGCAATGCAGAGTCGGCTCATAAAAGACCACTCTGAAGCATGTGCAGAGTATTTAGGCAAGGGCAGGGAGGTGGGGTGCTGCATCGTATCAAAGAAAAAGGGAAAGGATCAGGACTCGGATATAAGATATCCATCTTATACAGTGGACCCTCTACTTACGGAATTAATCCGCATTGGAACGGTGGCTGCAGGTCGAAAAGTCTGTAGGACGAGTTTCCATTGACCTACAATGCACTGAAAACCGATTAATCCCGTAATCGGACGTTTTTGTTCCGTTTTTGTTCCATTTTGGTTTTTTTCTGGTCTGTAGGTCGATTCTCCGGCTGCAAGTCGAACC